TATATATATATATATATATATATATATATATATGAAATGTACAAAAAAAATTATATATTTTATTTTAACATATAATAATAATTAGTAGTATTAGTATAAAAATTGGATTATTATAGTTAACTAAAACTAAAACCATGCATCCATGAAAAGGCAACATTTCTCATTTGCTAGTGTTTTCTTATTTCTTCTTCTTATCATTAAAAATATATGAAATATATAGAAAATTAAATAAATTAATGTTTCTATATTTTTTTCCATGATGTTTATTCAGTTTATATTTATAAACAACATTTTAAAGTTTTTATTTTATTAATATTTTGTATTTTTATTAATAAACAATCTTAAAAATATCAAATGTTTTGTATATAATATATAACATATTTAAAATATTAAATGTTAAATATTAAAATATAGTATGAACATATTTTTCTAAAATGCTAAAAACCATGGTTATTATAGTTAAAACTAAATCCATAAAAATAATAATAAATAACAAAAATCTTTATAAATAAATAATAATAATAATAATAATAAACATTAAAAACTATATAGACATAATAAAAAAAATAACAATAAATATGGCAAAACTAAATTACTAAAACAGATGTAGCCAGCAGTGACCAACTGTCCCCACAAGGAGAGTAAAACACCACCATGATGAAATATGTAGAGTCTGCATATTGTATACAGACAGCTTACCCTGTGCTGTTGAGGTAGTTTTGCCCTTGGCTGCAGCTTCGAGACAATGTGGAAGGGTTGAACCAAAATGCAGGCAAACAGTTTCCATCCCCTCTTCTATCAAAACCATAATCACTACAAAACAAAAAAACAAACAAGAACAAAAATCTCACATAAATAACATTTCTTAATTTTGACTCGTTTGAGATATCAATCCATCCATAAAAACATAAATTCACTCCAGGTATGTTTGAGTAGTTTCATACAAGGTCATCGCAAGTTCAAATCTAATTTGTGACATTTTCTAATGCCGTTCCCTGATGCCTATTCTGTAAAACATTCTCCAAACTACTTGTACATCCTTTCATTCATGCACAGCGGCACATCTTGTATTCAAGCATGTCCCTCTTTTATGCCCTTGAGACAATTGCAGCCATTGAGATATATTAATTCTGGGATGACAAATGTCTTTTCTGCTCTGAGAGCTGCAGGCATCAACGTATGTCCTTAACGTCTTTCAATTCTCTCTTCTCCCAGAAGCCCTGGAACCTGCTGAAGTGAATGTCTGTTCATATATCACCGGTGACTTTGATTTATCAATTAATTACTGATCCATAACAAAACCCAGCAGACAACATGGCCCCTTTTGGCATAACACATTTGGGTTTTTAATTATGAGCAGTTCTAATCCGGCACTCAGATAAGAGTCAAGCTTTAAAAGATAGTTGTGTGCTAGTTCTCAGATGATTCCCATACAAATGTAGTGTTGTTTTAGGTATATATGGGTGATTCTTTAATTAGTAACACTTTCATTACTTTTTTTTTT